TATTTTTGTTAATGGGTTTTCCAGAAAAACTTCCGAGAAAACCTTAGAGTTCTGTAAAATCTCTTTCTAGATATCCTGTGAACAGAATGTAGAACAGCCTAAATACTTTACATTCTGAAGTTTTGAACTTGTTCTGATGTATTTTGAGCGAACAGTGAATTTTTAAATATTAAGTGAAAACAGCTTGAAAACCCCAATTTTCGTAAAACTCCTTTTTCGATAGTTTCTAAGAACTTTTTCTAAAAGCAAATATTGCCACGAGACTCACCATGATTGATTATCCATAGTCCATACGTTTTCAAGGCTACCACTAGTCACCAGGTGCTAGTCCTGGGACTCGTAGGAAATCCGATACAGCGCCCAAGCCGCGGAAAATCAAGGTGTCGTTTGACTCCCGTCTTCAGGAGGACATCTCGGGCTATCAGTCCATGAGAAAAAGCAATACAATGCTATTCGAAATTCTTTACACACGACCTGGTTTTTCAAAGATCTCCTAGAAAATCTGTTTCAGGAAACTCTTCTGAGGGCTCTCTAAGCTTGTTCACCCATGCATTGTACTCAGCATCATTAGGTATTCGTTTTGTACAAAAATCACTTNNNNTAAGTTTTTGTACAGGGAGTCTCCAGAAAACGTCTGAAAACAATCTCAAAAGCCATTAATATGGTATCAAATCATATGTATTCTGAAAGTAGACACTTCAGGCTATCTTTGTATGTGCTTATCTCAAAATCCGAGAATCGTCATTTCTGAGGGTGGCCCTTAATATGGTAGTAATAAATTAATCACTATTTTCATCACTTTTGTTTTGCAATTTCAGAGTTTATTTGAATATTTAAAACACATGTAACGTTCAAGATGTTTGCCACAGTGCCCCGTGGTCTACTTAGCCACTCTTTATAATTATTAACAAAAATATTGACTATTGTTTATGTTTTTTATCATTATTTTTTAATTAATTTGTGTTTTTTTCTAGTTAAAACAAGATTTGTGTGTGTCAGTGTGTTCTATTGTAGTAAAAAAACACTGTTCTAATTGTTCTGTTATATTTCCTTTATTTTTCTTTATGTTCCTTTCAATGGAAGGTTTTAAGGTCTCTTTGTACAGAATAAAAATGACAACTGCTGTTTTTATACGTCTCTATGTACTATTTTTCTGTATTATGTTTGTTGTTGCAATTTGAACAAATAAAAAATAATAAATAAAAGGACAAAGATCTATAGACAGCGCGTTCTTGAATATAGTCCCAAAGAGAAGAGTCTCGTGTATGATGAAATGAAATCACACAATTTTTGAAGACTGTGCTTTTATTATCGCGAACTTGAATTTGGTTGCTTTTAACACAAAAGTAAAAAAACAGGTATCCATTCTTTTCCTGATCTCTCTGATATAGATATATCCCTGTAGTGTATTTTATATACATAACAGTCTTCTAAATTGAGTTGAAAGTTCTTATATGGCAAGAGAAAGTGCACTCTTAATAGTTTCATGTATTTTTCATGAAAATCTAGCAGTTCAATTGAATAGTTTTAGGAATACGCTTTTTATCGTCTATTTATTATACTTGTTTTTGAGGAAGCAAGCGGTCAGAGTTATACTCAAAGTCTACTTATCAAACTTCCACGACTATGCCATAAATAAGATGTAGTCTAAGAATTTGCAATTATTTGTACTTTGGATAAATACAAATCATTTTCGAGATTGAATATGGTGTGCAGTTAAAACTATTGAGATATTATTATCGAAAAAATAAAGCAGTGGCATTCGTTGATTTTCAAATAACTTGAGAACGCAACGAGACAATTCGAGTATTTTAAAACCAAGTCTCTGACGCATCTTGTTATAAAAAACAAGTTGAGAATCTTTTTTAAGGTGGAACTCCGGAACGATGTTTGAAAAATCTATTTATAATGCAAAAACTTTATAATAGAAATATATTGTTTTTTTCCGTCGGTAGATAGTTCAACGTGCTCTCTTCAAAATGAAAAGAAAGACCTTCATTCTTCATGGTTTAACTAATTGAATCTCAAGAGCTTTCTCAGAAGATTTCAATGCTTTATCATAATCACCTTGACTGTCATAAACTGATCCAATGTTATTATATGTAGTTGCAATTAAGGGGTAATTTGGTGGAGTTTCTAATCATTTCCAGCACTATGAGTACATTAAGGGATGAAGCTGACTTTTTTACTTCATTAGAATCGCCGTTAAACGAGCTTTGTTTTGTTACGCTGCCGAGAATACTTCCCTTTTCTAAATTGATGACGAAAAACTACAGAAATATACCCGTATTTTGAGATTTTCACTATCAAATTTCAATTTTTTGCAAAACGAATGTGATATTTGGAACCAGCATCAAAAACTGAGTTGAATGAGGTCTCTCTGGGAATTTTTCGATACTTTGTGAAAATCACGGCTTTTGCCTAATGAAGAAACTCGAAAAAAATCGAAGTTGTGTGTTATGTCCTGAACATTTGCTACAATCTAAGTACGTGTAGATCAGTGAGAACTGATATTTCTCTGCCACAAGCCTGGTGTATTGATGAATCAATAATCTTTATCGACTTTATGTTCAACTGCTAACGATTTTAATTCTACTGTAAAGATAAGTACAAAATAGAAAAGAGTAGTACAAGTTTTGTAAACGATTAGATTGTGTAATACCTTCGCTATCTCTGTTATATTTATTGGAAGACACATTGAATACAGTCGAAATATCACATTTGACCGACAACTGTTTCTCTGGGTTTTTGACTTTGGTAAGTAAATGCAACTTCCACACATCTTCATACATTCTTATCATTATACGCCTCACCTTTAAATATAACATCTCTTCGGCCCAAGAGCACTCACTGCAACAAAGAGCATTTTAAGACCCTGTACCCCCTCTGAGGCAGGAGCTATTCCAAGCATCGTTCTTTTCCGAGAAAATAATAATAAGTTTTCTTTATTCTAAGGACTATCACTAGAAATCAAATACAAACATCATGTAATCAAACATGGGCTCTACAAACTCACAACCAACAGGAAACACCACTACTACTACAACACATAGTCACAGCAGTGTTGATCAGCAACGGTCATCTCAACAACGCCGGCCGCAATTTGGAAACTAACACCGTTATTTGGCTTGATTCAAATATCAATTCAACAGATGACAACTTGAATGCAAAACTACACCTTCGTCGCGCAGCTAATCAGCTCGAAACTTTCGATGATACACAAAAGTGTATAGATTGCATATTATCTATTGAAACAGAGAAGATCTTTTTCATTGTATCTGGTTCATTAGGCGAAACAGTGATCCCACTCATTCATGATCAGTCACAAATAGAATCAATTTACATATTTTGTTTCAATAAAACTAAACACGATCTATGGGCGAATGGTTATAAGAAAATACGCGCTGTTTCGACTAATATCGATCATATTTGTGACCAACTAACGAAAGATCTTGAAATTAACTCGAAAGATCACATATCAATCAGTGTCGTGTCAGCAAGCACAGATGGCCAACAATTAAACAAACAAGAATCTTCATTTATGTATTTCCGGTTACTCATCGATATTTTAAATGGACTGACTCACGAACAACTAACTAAAAAAAAACTGATGGACGAGTGTCGTAGAGAATATGAATCGAATGACCGAGAACTGAATCATATTAAACAGTTCGATGAGACTTACACGAAAGACCAAGCGATAATGTGGTACACGAAAGAGTGTTTTCTCTATAGACTGTTGAATAAAGCATTGCGAACGTTAGATATTGATATGTTATTTAAACTGGGCTTTTTCATTCGTGACCTTCACGACCTGCTTCAACACCTACGAAAATCACAACACACTCAGTTTGCACACATCATAACTGTTTATCGTGGGCAAGGAATGTCAAACGACGAGTTCGAAAACTTACAAGACAAAATCGGAGGACTGTTGTCTATGAACAACTTTTTATCAACAACTGTAAACAAAGATGTCGCTCTCACATTCGCTTGTGAGTCGCGCGACCGAGCAAATACTCAATCGATTCTGTTCGAGATGAAGATTGACAGTGATAAATGCAAACAACCATTCGCAAATATTGCAGCAATGAGTGAATTTGCAGAAGAAGACGAGATACTCTTCTCGATGGGCACTGTGTTTCGAATCACTTCAATCGGAAGTCGTCGAGTAATGACATATGGACCGTTAAATTACAACTAAATGGAGACCAAGATGAGCAGTTGAAAGTATTGACTAATCACATGAAAGACGAACTTGGCGAATCAAACGATTTGAACTCATTGGGTCATTTGATGGTAAAAATGGCAAAATTTGATAAAGCGAAAGATTATTTCTTCAAGGTGATCAATGATTCAACCCCAAATCATACCTCAATTGTAACAGCATATAGTAACATTGGATTAGTTTATTATAGTCAAGGTGATTATGATAAAGCATTGAAATCTTATGAGAAAGCTCTTGAGATCTCATTAGTTTCACTTCCACTAAATCATCCCTCAAGTGCAACCACATATAATAACATTGGATTAGTTTATAAAAATAAAGGTGATTATGATAAAGCATTGAAATGTTATGAGAAAGCTCTTGAGATTCAATTAGTTTCACTTCCACCAAATCACCCTGATATTGCAACTACATATGGTAACATTAGGTCAGTTTATGACAGTCAAGGTGATTATGATAAAGCATTGAAACGTTGTGAGAAAGCTCTTGAGATCTCATTAGTTTCACTTGCATCAAATCATCCCTCAATTGCAACTACATATGGTAACATTGGGTCAGTTTATGACAGTCAAGGTGATTATGATAAAGCATTGAAATCTTATGAGAAAGCACTCGTTATTGGAGACAAGACCTAGCTTGTTATGTTAAATTTTGTGGGAACACCGTGATGAAGATCTTGTCGAATCTATTCGTAAAGAAGTTACCGATTCATTTAGCAGTTGTATTACATATACCCCAGAAAAAAAAAGCTTTCTTCGGTATTTTGAGGATATTGTTACCAAAAGAACGTATTTTTTTTTAAAGTAACGACATATTCTGAAAGCCCGTGAAATTTTACATCATCCTATATATTTTTATTTTTGTTTGGATCGCT